CAATAAAGACTGTATCATTTCTAAAAGTCTCTCATTCTTGACTCTGTTATGAAACCATTTCTTTAGCGATATCATATGATAAAAAATAATAGCCACCATGGCCACAAAAATATATGTACCAGGTAGGTCATACAGCTTAGTTCTTGCATCAATCCATTCATAGCAGGAACAAGAATATTATTATATTCCTGGGTAGTGATATTGTCTACAATTATCTTGGGATTGGTTTACAATCTTCAAATTTATTTGTTTATTTATTTATTTACCAATCAATCTGATACTATGGTATCACATTAACTTACCTCCCTTTTAATTTTGAGAAAATTGTTGTAGGTGTAATACTGTGGATTTTTCAGCAGGTGTCACAGTTGTGGCAGTAAGGCAGGTCCTAGATCAGGGCCTGAATCACCTGAGACTCAGCAAAAATTATTAAAAGTAGCACACCTTCACAGGGAGAAATTTGAGCTTCACAGGCAGAAGCTCAAAGGACTCAGAGCTTGCAGGCAATTGCGAGCTGTGAAGTTGCTGGTGGATTTTGGGTCAGTAGTTCTCATAGTTCCAATCTGGGAATGCAGGCCTGTGATCTAGGTACAGGCATAGAGCTCAGGCTGATCAGAGCAGGCCAGACAGCAGCTGGACCTCAGAAGCAGACCCTAGCTTGTGTAGCAGCAGTGAGCCACATGGGTCAGAGAAACCACAGAGGAGTTGCCGCAGGAATCTGCAGGCATCAGTTACTCAGCCACTTAGCTGGCAGGACTGAGCCACACAGGGGTAGGAGGGCTCAGAGAAATCCTATCTCAAAAAACCAAAAAAAGAAAAATTTATACTGTGTAAACTTGGTTGGCCTAGGTTACTGGTTTTCACCTGTTTCTGTAAATCCTGGTCTGGATCACCTCCTGCAGAAGTCCCCGGCTTAGAGTTGGTCTTGCAAAGGTTTCTGGCTGTGGTCTACTGCCTCAGAGTTCCCAGGCTCAGGTGTGTCCAGAACCAGAGACCTGGCTCAGGCTTACTCCCTCTGATGTCCCAGACTCATGCTAGAACAGGATTGAGTACTGGGACTGAATTGGCTCCCAGCTTCTGCTCCTGTGGAGCTTGCTTCCTCAGGCCCACTCTGTCCTAGGTAGCTGGTTCAGTCCCACTCCTGTGGAACTTGTTACCCAAGGTGGAGTTACTTGCCTCAGGTAGAAGTCTTAACCACCACAGGCTTCAAGCTGTACCTTGGAAGAAATAAAAAGGACGAATTAAAAAATACCTAATGCTGGCTAAGTGCTTTCAGTGAGCCCTAGCAGCTGCCCAGGTACCCAAAGCTGGGGAACCTCCATTTCCCTGTTTCAGATGGAGTCAGGAGGGTCATTGGACTTGTTCAAACCTCATATACAATGTCAACCATGGCCATAATGCCACCAAGAAAAGTATTTGGCTGAAGTTTCTCCTCATGTTCATTGCGTGAGGACAACAAGCGGAGTTCACCTCCCAGTTGATCTCTTAAGTCTGGCCATGGGCAACTGAGGGGGCCTGGGAACCTTGACCAATCATTGCTATCAGCAACAGGGAATCTTGGGTAGTCACAGTATCAGAGCAATCCATCTGCTTTCTTCAGGGCCACATTTTCAGTTCTTATAGAGTTTTGGGGACCAACCCCTCCATCTCTTTTTTCTATTGCTGGAATAGGGGAACAGCCTTACCAGCTATACTTTTAGGGGTATTATGCTTACCTATTTCTTCCTAATGAGACCAACCTATTCTGTCCCTTTCCTGGGAAAATATCTCCTAGTTAAAGTAGGAACTTCTATTTCTTTTGCTCCCCATATCTGCTTGACCCAAGTCCAGGCTCTCCAGCCATTTTCCTCCTTCTCTTCCAAACCACACAACGTGATACACCTTTTCCATAACTGGCTTTCCAGGTAGATTTCTGAGTCTGAGACATCCCAAACCCCTCTGAAGCCTAACATTCTCCTCTCAGCCAAAAACAGTGTAGGAATGAAGGTGGCCACTGCATGTTTTATTTCTCCTTTGAATATGTGAGTTTTCTGTGTTCTGTATTTACTTGTTTTGTTTTGCTTTCTCTACCACTGCTAGCCACCAGCCATCACTGCAAATGCTGCTCGCTATAATTGTTTTGATGGCCAGCATTCAGAATTGATCTCTGGGCTATAGTCACTGGATTCAGTTTACCAAAGATAGGATTTAAAACAATACTTGCTTATCCCAGTAATAAAGCATTCATCTGCATATACGTGCATTCATATACAAGAATGAACCTCTGCCTGCCGCTCATCCTATTTTACACAAATCGAAGTTAAACATCAGGTCACCTACTACTGTGTTCTCTCCTCACTTCTGTCCCACATAGTAACACACAAGGTTCTCCAAACACTACTTTTTCAGAATACATTCCTCAATTAGCATTAGTAGTCATTCTTCCCTTTTTGCCACTTCAAACTAACTCAAGGTGTTGATTTGACTCCATTTAAGGTGTGTATGGATCATGTTTGTTAGCATCACACACCTTGATCCAAATCTTCAGTTGACCTTACTAGACACCTCATTCTTCCACCTGCTCTAACCATCCAACTCTACTTGCCTACTTTTTTTGATCCTGGAACCTGCTAAGCCCCTTGGAGCCTTCACTCTAGTTATTAAGAAACCTACTCTTCTCCCTCTTGGAACCAGTGTCCTTGTTTCCATACCATCTCCCCCAAGGTCAAGCCTGCTAGGCTACACAACTTCCTTAAGCCCTTCCCATACTCCTTGTCCTTCGTGTCCCTTAATTCAGTCCTGGAAGTCTCACAGCTTATATATGTCCTACTTGGGTTTTCTCTTGCGTTTCAGTTCCCACTTGGAACATATAGTAATAGCTTTGGGTGGAGCTGGTATTGCAACTCTGCCTCTCTTCCTCCATGGATTCAGATTTTATTAAAGCCTTGCTGTTACTACAAACACCTTGGCCTCAGTATAGGTCAATGTTCAAAACTGACATGCTAGATTTTCAGTATTGACAATTTCTGCCAATGCACAAATACAAAAATCTTTTATATCTAAACATCCTCTCTCTTCCTCTATTTCTTCCTATCTACACCTGCTCTTACATATAGATGATTAATGTCCAAGCAACCCCTGCCTCTAATCAACAGCCTACTCTAATGGAGTCAGGAAATAACTCCACATCGGCTGTCAAAGGCTGAATGACTCCCCTACAAACTCCCTTTTCCAACCCTCCTTCACTGGGGTTTACTCTCTATGCAGCTTTTCTCTATGACCAAATGAAGATTACTGTACAAAGTGACCTGAAACTTAAAGAGGTACCCATATTGGTCCTGCAAATACCATGAGATAAATCTGGACAATACTAATTGCATATCGGCCAATGAATAAAACTCTGCCTGGTCACTTTGGAGAGTAGGGGTTGTGTCCCTTCTAGGTCAAATTCATGATCACCATTTATTGCCTCTATCATTGAACTACTAGAATGTCTTAATTGCCTCTCATTAATTACTCAGAGCCAATTACCACTACTAGCCTTGGCCTTTATATTTCTCATATCTCTTTCAGTATTGCAAAATATTTAAATTCAGCAGCATATGTTATGGGTACCACTAAGTGAGAAATTTTAGGTAACACTTGGCCTTAGAAGAGACAGTGTTACTTTTCCTCAGAGATGTTGCTCATGCACAAACAGGTAGCTCGCATGGACTCAGTACTTCAACAAAATTGTCAATATGGAGATGCTAAGAAGCATTTTGGGAGTAAGTAAATAGAGATAAGGGGTGGGGATGAATTTGATCAAACATATGATAGATACAAGAATAATATTCCCAAAACAATAAATACCAATATGTATGGTAACATGTGTTTTTTCAGTTGGGCCATTTGAAACCACAAATCCAGGCTCACACTGACTCTCACACTAGCAGTAACATCTCCATGTTCTTTCCTGTCCTGTTATCTTGAATCCTTGTGTAATATCTCTACATCATTTAATGTTTCACTTTCCTAAAATTTATTGTGGAGGCCCAAAAATGTGAGCCTATTTCCACTTTATCTAATGGTCAGAGTGTGGAGGTTACTGAAAATTGTTGACAAGTGTAATTACACATCCTGACTATGGATATTTTTACTTGGTTCTTTAGACATTAAGATGGCTCATACAAGTAGATCCATTCCATCCTGACAGATGGTCAGGATAGGCATGCATACTTCTGTTCCATCTTTCGTAATATGAGGTTGCCTGGGTAGTGGTTGCCTTCAGGATACTTGGTCTAGAATGGCTTCACTGCCTAAACAGCAGAATGCCAATGACTTGATGTATTAAAGTGTTAAAGCAATTAATTGTTCACGTTGTCCTTTGTATCACGCTAAAGAAGTCTTTTGTTTCCTTCTTCCCCATTTTGTATTGGGGTAACAAGGTGTGTGGAAAATTAATCATGGATGCTTTCAGTATTCATTGGAACTCCCTCTGAAACTCGTCTATGGTTTGTTTTATTTTTCACACGTCTTCTTATTCTTTACTTGTATTTCTGAATCTCCATGCCCCTACCCTGGCAAGAGGTATTCTTATCGAGGCTGGTCCCAGACAATTTGTATATTTTAATTTCATTTGTATAAGTATTTTCCTGCAGGTAAGTGTGTGCACCTTGTAAATAAAGTGCCTGCAATGGCCATAAGAAGGTAACAGATCCGATGGAAACTGAGTGAAGTCACCATGCATGTACATGGAACTGAAAGAGCAACAAGTGTTATAGAGCCACCTCTCTAGGACTGGGTTTATTGCTCATTAACTGGCTCTTATGAAGACGTAAGTCATCAGTGAACTGTGGGACAATTCATGGAGTACTGAAGACACTTTCTTAGAGTGTCAGGGTGAGCATAAGCTTATGAAAATGTGACCAAGAAGTTGATGAAAAAAATAAACTGAAGAGTGGTTTATTATTTGTGTTTTAATAAATAAAGCTTGCCGGAAGATAGGCACGCAAAACAGTTATACTAGTTAGCTATACAAGTCAAACAGCAGTGACATCTTTAATCCCAGCAGCCACACTAGTTTGCCATAGAGGCGGTGGTGCACACTAGAAAGAAATATAAAAAGGGAAGAACAGGTCTCAGGCCAGTCTCAATCAGAGGATTAATGGAAGGATTGCCCATTTTGATCGGAGTTAGAGTGAAGAGACAGTGGCTGGCTGCTTTACTCTTCTGACCTTCAACTTGATCCAATATCTGTTTCTTGGTTTTTACTATTAATGCAATAAATCTCATAAGTTTTGTCAGCAATAGGTGCTCAAAAAAGACATTTGTCCATAATTATCTGGCTGAGGGCTTGTGAGCTTAAGAACAGTCAATCAGAAATACTATATCAAAAGATACCACTATCTTTTGGAAGAAAGGAGATGTAGAAATTACTGAGATACTAGATGACAATACAATGAGTCAAGGCAACAGACTCATTAGAAAAGCATAGATGAAGCATTTTTCATCTAATGCAAACTAAAACAATGAATCCAAGTACCAGTACTAGAGTTGAAAAGAGGATATTGTATGCCAATGACATCAGAGCTCTCTTATGGAGTACTATGGATGGTCACATGCAAAAGAAATTGGAATTGGTCAAGTGGTGATAATGCACATCTTTAATCCCAGCACTCCACTTGAGAGGCAGACACACCTCTGTGAGTTCAAGGCCAGCCTGCTCTACAGAGCTAGTTCCAGGACAGGACAGGCTCCATAGCTACTGAGAAACCCTGTCTCAAGAAAAAAAAAAAAGAAATAGGTATAGAAGGAGAAAAAAGGATGAGCTCATAAGTAAAAGGGAACAAATCAACCTTCTCAGTTATAAAATTAAAAAAGGAATTAAGCAATGCTGAGACTGATTCACTAACAGTCTCTGAGGACTAGACAAATTCAGAATAAAATTCTCCTTTTCTTAGGCAAACCTAACACCACAAGGAGAATAGTAAATAAAACACAAAAGGGAATGCCACACAAAGCTAGCTTTCCCTCAACACCCAAAGCAGGTAAAACAAACAAATATATGCAAACAAAAATCAGACAAGTTGCCAGAATAGACACAGATGCAGATTGTCTCTAAATTTCATAAAACCAGAATGCAATCTGCTTAATGCCAAGAAAGCAGGACAGTTTCAATCCCTATACAAGAGGATGCCAATAGATTAATGAATGGCCTATGGCTAAACATCATTAGCTCATTAGAAAAGCTCAAAAAAAAGTGAAAACAAAAGGAATGTACATCAGTACAGTAAAAACAATGGAACAGAATCCTAAACCTGGCAATATGAAAGGACAGCTGAAATCATTTCACTCGAATCTGGACAGAGAAAGATGTCCACCACACTCACCACATTGAATTATACTGCTCATGGACACAAAAAAATTAAAAGTATCAATATAGGACAGTAAGAAAGAAAGTGGGCACCTTAGGTAAGAAATAGAATTCTATAATTTAAAGGTAGGTAAACCTGACCAATACCACAAGGAGAACAGTAAATAAAGCGCCAAGAAAAAGAATGCTAGAAATTCATCATACAAAGCTAGTTTTCCCTCAACATCCAAAGCCGATGACCCAAACAAATATATGCAAAGGAAAATCAGACATGTTCTCAAGATGGACATAAACAGAGATTGTCCCTAAATTACATGGAAATAGAATTCAGCTAATTCCAAGAATGCAAGACAGTTTCAGCCCCTATGAATTAATCAGTGTAATACACCAAATATGTAGAGTGAGTAAGAGAAGAAACAGGATATTAATAGATCACTGAAAGACCTATGGAGAAATAACAATTTGCAAGAATGTAAGAAGGGAATATACCTCCACATAATAAAGACAATGGGACACAATCCTAAACTTGACAATACAAAAAGAACAGCTGAACTCATTTCACTGAAATTGAGACAGAAAGGGTATTATCAACAGTTCAAAGACACAGAGAGTTTTAAAGTTGATAATAAAGGCAGTAATAAAGAAAGGGAGTCTTTTAGATAAATAGAATTCTACATTTTAAAGGTAGAAATACTTATGAAGAGAGAGAAGATCTGATGGACCTCATCATAAACTGCATAATCCACATAGAACACCATTTTTTTTAACATGTCAACAAGAAGATGCCGAGAAGTCAGCAGATCACTCAGTCTAAAAATTTCGTTTGACTCCCTGTGGTAGCATTCATGATGTCAAAAACTGCTATGTAGGCTGGGACAGGGAGCAGCGTTATCAATAGCCATACCCGGTTTTGGATCCTGTGTGCTATAATCCCAACCAGCCACACATGGAATGCCCATTGGTGTCAAGTGGCAAGATTATTTTGTGGGAAAGAGAAGGCCTTCTGGGTTCATTTGAAGCTGAATCCACAGAAGGAAATACATGCATGGCATAGGCAACTGGACCAAAAACCAGTGATGGTGAAGATCACGGGCCTATGAGGGAATCCTGCTACATGTACAAAAATACTCAATCTCCCTTTTACTGATTCTGTTCACACCACAGCATTGTGTTGCTTCAGCCTGGACCTAAGAAAACATGTTTTAAATAGACAACAATAATTTCAGAGACCATAACTCATGAAATACTGAGAATTACTGACTGCTTAATAAACAGGCTAAGATGGGAATTCCATATTCCCACATCTAAAATGTAGGGAACATTATAGAAGAGGAGGTAAATATTTTAAGTGCTGGAAGATGGGGAGGTGACATATGAAAAATTCTCTTCCCATATGACATGGAATTGGAATTACAGACACATTACGGCCTGGGTATCTGGCCCAAACCTGCCCAAAATCATACGTGAACTATGAGGACAACTGGGAAGAACACATCTACCCCGGGATGGGACAGAGGGTAACAAAGGGATAATGATGAGTGATTCAAACTGTGCAAATATTATAAATATTAGTTATAAAAATTCAACAAAATTTATACTAATAGTATTTAAGAGGAGGTATCAATATCTATTTGGAGGTAGAACTTTGCAATGTAACAACAACCAATTAGAGAAGATTTATACTGTCTGTTTTTGCTTGTATTTATTAAATTTAAACCTGAACAACAAAAAATATTTTTAAAAAGTCAAAAAAACTAACCAAGCACAGGAGAGACATATAAAATACAAACTTGAATTCACTGAAGGAGTAGACAATGATGCTGGAAGATGGGAAAAGCTTGCGTGCACATGGAACATAATGCATTATTATGAAAATTATGGTGGTGGGGCTGGAGAGATGGCTCAGAGGTTAAGAGCATTGCTTGCTCTTCTAAAGGTCCTGAGTTCCATTCCCAGCAACCACATGGTGGCTCACAACCATCTGTAATGGGGTCTGGTGCCCTCTTCTGGCATGCAGACACCCACACAGACAGAATATTGTATACATAATAAATAAATAAATATTAAAAAATAAAATTATGGTGGTAAAAGATTTATGATTAACTCAAAATTTGTGACCATCAAGCTACCCATGATTTACTCGACAGGTACAGTAATGAGAAATCTATAAATTTACATTAATTACAAATTACAAAATTACAAATACTCAGAGTGCAGCAGAGAAAGCACAAACAAACATAGCAAAGTTTGAATCATCCCAGCTGTGACTTCAGATGACACTGCAAAACAACAGAAACAACAACACCATGGCAGTGGCAGAAGTAACAGCAGCAGATCCAGGATCAATCCAACTGGGGTGACCAAATAAATTTGACCAAAACTTTTGTTACAGATTAAGCAGCCTTATCCACCAGTATTGTAGGGAAAGGTAAACATCCACATGTAAAAGAATTAAAAGAGCTGGGCGATGGTGGCGCACACCTTTAATCCCAGCACTTGGGAGGCAGAGGCAGGCGGATCTCTGTGAGTTTGAGACCAACCTGGTCTACAGAGCTAGTTCCAGGACAGGCTCCAAAGCCACAGAGAAACCCTGTCTCAAAAAACCAAAAAAAAAAAAAAAAAAAAAAAAGAGAGAGAGAGAGAATTAAAAGAGGGGGCTGGAGAGATGGCTCAGAGGTTAAGAGCACTGAGCACTGACTACTCTTCCAGAGGTCCTGAGTTCAAATCCCAGCAGCCACATGTTGGCTCACAGCCATCTGTAATGAGATCAGGTGCCCTCTTCTGGTCAGCAAGCACACAGACAGACAGAACACTGTATACATAATTATTAAATAAATCTTTAAAAAAAAAGAATTAAGAGGGGTCCACAAAATGAATCAGTGAAATTTAACTATGTCCAATTGAAAAATAACTGAAAGTAAGAAACAGCCTACAGAATGGAGAAATTTATTAGCAAACATTTTATAGTATAATACATCAATACCCAGAGTTCACCAAGAAGCTAAAAAATGCAAAGAAAATAATATTATAATCAAGTAATAAATGAAAAAATAGTGACAATCAACAAAAGATTTGACATAGCCAAAATGTAATAGCACATGTTCCACACATTTCCTGATGAAGAAAATGTTCCTCTATTGTAGACTGGAATCTCTCTGCCTAATCAGTATCCATACTCAAAGAATTAAACAATAACAATAGTTGGAGACAATGCAGGAGGAAAAACGCAGACACGTGTCAGTGGGAATACAAATTACTGAGGCCAGCAAGCACATCAGTCATCAGTATGCAGCTTATTGAACAACCAAACAAGCAAAAAGAGAAAACCTAGAGAAGATGCTAATCAAGTTTATAAAGAATGAAATACACTGAAAACTATCAGTGAAATAGAAAGAAACTCAAAAAGAAAACGTAATAGAGAATAATAATATAGCATGTGCTTATATTTTCCTTCAGTGATTTCTTAAAATGTGTATGTATAATATACCCCAAACCAAATGTGAAAATAGGATAGAGCTTCAAAAGAAAAAGAGATAGCACCTTAAAATCAAACTATAAACTTTCTATAAAAGTATTTACTTCAAACATAAGGATACAAAGTATGAAAAGTGAAGGAATTTTTTTAAAACATTTTCTGTGAAGAGGACTGGTCATAATTATGATAGGTAACAGAAAAACTGAATCTATAAATATATTATAAAAAATATTAACAAATGATCATATGGTCCTTTTTCCAGAAAGCTATGTCATCAACATAATTCCAGTTCACAAGAGTTCCCAAATACATGAAGCAATAATGACAGAAATGCATGCAGGGAAGCTTGAATGTCCACCACTGAGAAAACTGATCATGAGCAGCAGAGAAAAGCAATAATGACTAGCATCCTCCAGAGAATCATCCACACAACAGAAGATGCCCTGTCTCCTCACACTTCAACTAGGATGCTACAGGGTGGCCCGGCCTTAAAGTTGGAAAAAGTCTTCAAACGAAGTAAAGATCAAGGTTTAAAAAGTGACTTCCCAAAGAATGTTGAATGCTGACATCAATAGTAGATAGCAGAGAATAAAAAGACATGAATATTGACTCATTGATAGCATGTTCTCATTCAAACATGTGAAAAAATATAAAAGTATCTTCTAAAAATTCCAAGTAAGATGCACAAAGAAGGGGCTGGAGAGATGGCTCAGTGGTTAAGAGCACTGCCTGCTCTTCCAAAGGTCCTGAGTTCAATTCCCAGGAACCACATGGTGGCTCACAACCATCTGTAATGAGGTCTGGTGTCCTCTTCTGGCCTGCAGACATACACACAGACAGAATATTGTATACATAATAAATAAATAAATATTTTTTTAAAAAAGAAAAGATGCACAAAGAACAAGCTTTTTTTCTATATAAATGGACAAACCCTCAAACTCTATTACAAAGCTACAGTATTGAAAACAGCTTGGTATTGGCATAAAAACAGAGAAGTCGACCAATGGAATCGAACGGAAGACCCTGACATTAACCCACAAACCTATGAACACCTGATTTTCGATAAAGGAGCTAAAACTATACAATGGAAAAAAAGAGAGCATCTTCAACAAATTGTGCTGGCAAAACTGGATGTCAATCTGTAGAAGAATGAAAATAGATCCATATCTATCACCATGCACAAAACTCAAGTCCAAATGGATTAAAGACCTCAATATCAGTTCGAACACACTGAACCTGATAGAAGAGAAAGTGGGAAGTACTCTACAGCACATGGGCACAGGAGACCACTTCCTACGTATAACCCCAGCAGCACAGACACTAAGGGCATCATTGAATAAATGGGACCTCCGGAGGCTGAGAAGCTTCTGTAAAGCAAAGGACACTGTCACTAAGACAAAAAGGCATCTCACTGACTGGGAGAAGATCTTCACCAACCCTGCAACTGACAAAGGTCTGATCTCCAAAATATATAAAGAACTCAAGAAACTAGACCGCAAAAGGCTAATCAACCCAATTATAAAATGGGGCACTGAGCTGAACAGAGAATTCTCAACAGAAGAACTTCAAATGGCCAAAAGACACTTAAGGTCATGCTCAACTTCCTTAGCGATCAGGGAAATGCAAATCCAGACAACTTTAAGATACCATCTTACACCTGTCAGAATGGCTAAAATAAAAAACACCAATGATAGCCTTTGCTGGAGAGGCTGTGGAGAAAGGGGTACACTCACCCATTGCTGGTGGGAATGCAAACTTGTGCAACCACTTTGGAAAGCAGTGTTTCGGTTTCTCAGGAAATTCGGGATCAACCTACCCCTGGACCCAGCAATACCACTCTTGGGAATATACCCAAGAGAGGCCCTATCATACAACAAAAGTATATGCTCAACTATGTTCACGGCAGCATTGTTTGTAATAGCCAGAACCTGGAAACAACCTAGATGCCCTTCAACAGAAGAATGGATGGGGGGCTGGAGAGATGGCTCAGTGGTTAAGAGCATTGCCTGCTCTTCCAAAGGTCCTGAGTTCAATTCCTGGCAACCACATGGTGGCTCACAACCATCTGTAAAGAGGTCTGGTGCCCTCTTCCGGCCTGCAGGCATACACACAGACAGAATATTGTATACATAATAAATAAATAAAATAAATATTTAAAAAAAAAAAAACCAGAAGAATGGATGAAGAAAGTATGGAATATATACATATTAGAGTATTACTCAGCAGTAAAAAACAAGCACTTCTTGAATTTTGCATACAAATGGATGGAAATAGAAAACACTATCCTGAGTGAGGTAAGCCAGACCCAAAAAGAGGAACATGGGATGTACTCACTCATATTTGGTTTCTAGCCATAAATAAAGGACATTGAGCTTATAATTCATGTTCCTAGAGAAGCTAAATAAGAAGGTGAATCCAAAGACAAACACATAGGCATCCTCCTGAATATTAACCTTCATCAGGCGATGAAAGGAGATAGAGACAGAGACCCCCAAGGGAGCACCGGACAGAAATCTCATGGTCCAAATCAGGAGCAGAAGGAGAAGGAGCACGAGCAAGGAACTCAGGACCACGAGGGGTGCACCCACACACTGAGACAATGGGGATGTTCTATCGGGAACTCACCAAGGCCAGCTGGCCTAGGTCTAAAAAAGCATGGGATAAATCCGGACTAGCTGAACATAGCGGACAATGAGGAATAATGAGAGCTCAAGAACAATCGCAGTGGGGTTCTTGGTCCTACTGCACGTACTGGCTTTGTGGGAGCCTAGGCAGTTTGGATGCTCACCTTAGGAGACCTGGATAGAGGTGGGCAGTCCTTGGGCTTCCCACAGGTCAGGGAACCCTGATTGCTCTTCGAGCAGATGAGGGAGGGGGACTTGATCGGGGGAGGGGGAGGGAAATGGGAAGCGGGTGCGGGGAGGAGACAGAAATCCTAAAGAAAGAAAGAAAGAAAGAAAGAAAGAAAGAAAGAAAGAAAGAAAAAAAACATTAAAAAAATTATGTAACTCAAAAAAAAAATGGACAAACCCTTCTTAAGATTTATAAAATTGTGAGAAACCACAAAGACTTCAAAAATCATGAGAAGGATCAAACCCAAAAGTTATTTCAAAATATATAAGAATTGTAGTGAAACAAACTGTAGAATTTCAAAGACAGATAAGATATTAAAGGGAAGACAATGTAGATGGAGTTTAATACTCAGCAAAGATATGAAACAAATCTTATCAAAATCCTACTAACATTATTTTAGAAAATAGAGAAATTAACCCTAAGACACTGAATCTGAACGAACAATATGCTCCAAAAATTCTTTGTGCAAGACAAACCAAGTTTTGCCTAAATGGGGATTACAAATTGCTCCTGAAAAAATACAAAGAGGAGATTCTGTCAATTACCTAGGTTACAAAATAGGTTTACAGAAAATTAAAACACAAAAGACACAAATCAGGAGACTGACTATGGACTCTTAATGACTTTCAAATATTATTAGCAGACATTTCCAGTCTATGACCAGCTGTTGGTTAACACTTGATCTAATAATTTATTTAAACAAAACCTTAGATGGTGACAAAGACTTAAATAGCACCAGAGAATCAACAGTTGAAGCGGAAAGAGAATTGATGATTGTTGAAGAGAAATTATAGGAGGCACATGTGGATAGGGTGAATCCAAATCTTAATTGTATTCTAGTAATCTTGCCTTTCAGAATTTCCCCTACAGGAAATTTAATGCAGAGGGAAGATATAATCTTAGAATGGATCTTTTTACCACATAAACAAAGTAAGAAATTAAAAACTAATGTGGAAAAAAAATCTCTGAATTAATTATAAAAGGTAGAGACTCAGCAGAAATTATAGTGCCTTTTACTACTGATGAAATTAAAAACTTATGAGGCAGGCGGATCTCCTTGAGTCCGAGACCAGCCTGGTCTACAGAGCTAGTTCCAGGACACGCTCCAAGGCCACAGAGAAACCCTGTCTCGGAAAAAAAAAAAAAAAAAAAAAAAAGCAAAAACACACACACACAAAAAAAAAACACTGCCTATGAAGACACATTTCTGGATACTGTATTTACATTCTAGACTGCAATATCTCAGATGGAAATATAATTGAGAGTAAAAACTTTGCTTACAAGCCGGGCTGTGGTGGAGTACGCCTTTATCCCAGCAATCGGGAGGCAGAGACCAGCCTGGTCTACAAGAGCTAGTTCCAGGACAGACTCCAAAGCTACAGAGAAACCAGCCCAAACCAAAACCAACAAACATAAAAACTTTGCTTAGTAAACATTAATGGTCCCAGCCATAACTGGAGTCCTCTATAAAGTATATTTTCTGATTCGATCAAATGTGCACTGGCTCCTCCTGTTTTTATTTTCTACAAAGCTCTCTGGGGATGCCTACTTCTTCAGAGGCAAAGGCCACTCTCTTAAATACGAAAGGAGTCAAACAGGGGAAGATAAAAAGCATGGAAAAAATTAAATTCCAGGAGATTTGGAGCGGCCACGGTAGCAAAGAGAATCCTGTTTGCAAACAACAGACACTACAAATGCTCTACTAGATTATTTTAGGAACTATTTTTGACAGAACAGTCTGGGAGCAGTAAGAGAAAAACACCACGATAACACCCCCACCCCCCCAGTTCATAAGACCTCTACCTTACCGACAAGGGAATGTATCAACAACAGAATTTTGAAAGCTGTGTCCTGAGCTGCCTCATCCCATCCCTTCCTTGGGGGTCCAAGCCCCACAGCAGTTTCTGCCGTGGCGCTGCTGACTTTCCCAGGCCGCCTGGCATGGAGACGGCGGCTCCGGGGAGTTTTCGCATCCTTGCGACACCTGGCCGTGTCCTCCGCTCCCAGGTCTGCACCTTGTCCAAGAGTCCAAGAGGGAAAAGAGAAACTTGCTTTAACTTTGCCAATTTTTTTAGAGCGGCTCCTCCTGGACCCTCCCACTTAAAATCCACTTCCATTCACCTAGCGGCCTCTTTTTATTGGTTAGTTCCCCAAGTTGTCCCCCACCCCCAGGCTGGTTCTTTTCGCCTAACCTCCTCTGCTCGAGCAGGTGTCCCCGCTGCATGGTGACACGTTCCTCCCACTGCGTTTCAGGCACCTTCCACTTGGGCTGCCCTGTTCCAGCCTCCCGACGTGCTTGAGGAGAGACCTCTGCAGTGAATTCTGAACCCTCTCATCTGAAGTTATCACGACTTACTTTATCTTGGCACACCAGCCTCCCGAGATAAAAACACACAGCAAAAGACAACAAACATTCTAAATTCTGATGCTCAAGACCCATCCCCCAAACGAATTAAAAGTAAGACAAAAGACCCTGTCTCAAAACACAAACCATATCTGTAACCCCCGAGGGGAGAAAGTTAAATGATGTCCAATATAAAGAACTCAAAAACCTGAGTCATGTTCAAGATGATCAAAACGTGTGAATCAACTCAAAGATAGAAATGAAATGATTCTGCGCAAGAAAAGAGTAGCAAATGCCTGCAGGAAATGAGAACAATATAGGATATAAAAACTGAATTTAATAAATAGTTACAAACACCGAAAAGAAAGGAACTGAAATGAAACAGTAAAATAAAACTGCAATAAGTTTAATAATAGCTCAGAAATCAGGTAGGAGATAAAATATCAGGTTAGAAGACAAGAAGGCACTGGCTAGCCCAGTCAAAGAAAACGATGAATTAAAACAAAATGCTCCATGAAGCAGCACTAATTAAAGGTAAACGTGAATTTACAGTTGCACTGTCTACTCTTATATGAAGTATTCTATATTCTAGACACAGTAACTCTGGAGAACTTTACTGGAAAGCCGGATAAATTTCCATCCCGAGGCAAATGAAGTGGCACTAAAAAGCCACCTCTATCCTTTCCTGCCAGACCTCCGCTACTGCCAATCAAATATCTAGAATTACACTATTAGCAATACTGAGCTGGGAGAAGACATGTCAGGAACTCGGGATTTTGAAAGGAAATAGTTGTTATGGTTTTAGTCCCTTTAAGAGACAAGCCACACCCATTCCCCCTCCCTATCCGCTGAGGTTGGCTGATCTTCAGCTTCCGGCCTGAGCTCGCTCTCTTTTCCATCTTCCTCTCAGAGAGGCAGCTTCGGTTTTGCCTCTCTCCCCACTTCTCTGCTTCCCCCCTTCTCTGTCTCTTTCTCTTTTTCCTCCTCCTCCTCCTCCTCCTCCTCCTCCTCCTCCTCCTCCTCCTCTTCTTCTTCTTCTTCTGCCTCTCTCTCTCTCTCTCTCTCTCTCTCTCTGTCCCCCCCTTCACCCTTCCTCTTCCATAACCCCCTGAATAAACATTCAACCTCACCCTGCATGTTGTGTCTACCCATGTTTCTGTCTTCTGCCCGCCCGCCATGTGTCTCCCTGCCTGGAACCAGCCATTGCTCGGGGACCAGCAGCTGTCTCTGCCTGGGGCCCACTGCCTGCTGCCACATGGCCCGCCACCACTGCTCTGAGACCAGCAGCCATCTCTGCCTGGGACTGGCTGCTCCCAGGGCCCGCTACCTGCCACCACATGGCCTGCGGCCACCATTTGGGACCTACAGCATTTCTGCTGACTACTGCGCGGGGATCTTGCAGCATTTTTTTAAAAAAGAATAACAAGGGGGCTGGAGAGATGGCTCAGAGGTTAAGAGCACTGACTGATCTTCCAGAGGTCCTGAGTTCAATTCCCAGCAACCACATGATGGCTCACAACCATCTGTAATGAGATCTGGCGCCCTCTTCTGGTGTGTGGGAAGCAGAATGTTGTACACATAATAAATAAATAAAATTTTTTTAAAAAAAAAGAATAACAATAGTTGTCTCAGCAAGTCCATCTTTAACTGCCTAGTGCTAAGTTTCACTTGTGCTGTACCTGGTTCACCACTAGATGGTGGAACTGTTGTTTTGCTAACTCAGAAAGTTTGTCTTCTGAAAGGCATGCTAAAGAGGTGTTTATATAAAGCATAGAAAATTCCTTTTAAAAACTAAACAGTGAATAGAGAAACTTGCCAGCCTAAATCAGTTTTATATGTAAAAAAGTAATGCCACTAGGAACTGATGCATACTGAAACAGATTCAACAGCTGATGTCTCCCAAAGTTCTCTAAGACAAATAAACTTTAGAGCTCTCAGCAGAGGCGTGTTTTGTTTAACTATCATTGTTTGGAGGCCACTGTAAGGGTGCTCAGAAGAACCCACTCTCTGTTCCCTGGCGTGGGAAGTCGGATAAGAGCATTCACTTTCTTATCAAAATTGCTTATCTTGCAGAAGGTGGGATAAATAGATGCTGAAGCTGTGGGGTCAGCTATGATAATCTAAATCTTTACTTCCCCCAACCATTATCACCTGAAACTCTGGCCTGGCCATTGATGAATTTCAATATGGGCTGGAGTCTCAATTGTTTATCCTGAGCATCTGATGCCTGGCTGCAGGAGAAACCACAAGCTGAGATCACCCAACCACCCACCCAAGAACAGACCATTTTAAGGAAATTCCTGGCATTCCAAACACTGTAGATTGAAACACCTGCAGCTCACAGTCACCAGGAAACCCTAGACGAATGTCAGCCAAGAAGGGGTCTTAAAACCTCAGAAACCCTTTACCCACACATTTACTACTATAATACCCTATTCTAATTAAGCTTGGGGCTCTCCGGTTATTCCAATACGTTGGACATGCAGGGAGACTGAGTTTGCAAACTTGATTAAAATAAAGGCTCTTTGCTTTTACATACGGGACTCTTGGTTTCCTTGTCAGCTTGTCGGAGATTGCGGATTTGGGCGTAACAGAAGCAATAATACACTTTGAGAAAGATACTCACCGAAGGGTCATACACAGAGTATTTCACAATTTACTCCTTACAAGTCTCCTATGTTGAACACTTAGAACATGGGCAACAGCATTCAGAGATGAGGGCATTGAGAGGTGACTGGATCATGAGTTCACACCCTTCATACAGTCAACCAGGTTTAGAGGGGAGGGGAGAAGAGTATGAACAATAATCCATCAGCCACAGCAGCAAAATCATCTGGAATAAAAACCATGAGATATAAAATCTCAGCAGGTACAGAAATTTCACCCAGAAAAATTCAGCAAGACTTCATGATGAAATTCCTAGACCGACTTGGAATAAATGGAACAGAGCTAAGCAAAATAGTGTCTATGTGTCAATATAGGTTTACAGTCCAGTCCAATACAAAGAAAAAATGTACAGAATTGCCTTTGACGCTGTAACAAGACAAGGGTACACACTCTTCCTAGCTGTGCTTACTATAAGGATTTAACCTAGCTCGAGAGGCTGGAGGGAGGCTCAGAAGTTAGGAGCACTGGTTGCCCTTCCAGAAGACTGAAACTAGAGCAACACCCTCATGTCAGCTTACTAAGGTCTGCTACGCCAGCAGCACAGAACAGTCCCTAAACCTTATACCTCACTTGTTGAACCTGTCTTATTAGCAAGTCCCCCTCTTCCATGTTTTGGTTCTTTTGAGACACACCGAGTTTGATTCACACAGCTTTCAGGAGCACTGTGAGAGGATACTGACTAGAGAATTGGAAATTTACATGTAACTCCACTTCTGAAGATAATAACTCCTTTCCCATCCAGTGACCATTAACTGTCAATAAGTCTTCAGGGGAGGTTGGGCTGCATGAAGTTCTCATTTGAAGATAATCACAGTCGTGCTCAGATCAGGGCAGTGTTTCCTGGCAGCCCTCTCCATCTTGGTGCCTTTATGTCCTTTCACCTCCTAATCAGTGTTCCTGGGTGTAGAGGACTTGCCTCGACAGAAATACTTCTTACCAGGGTAGAGACATGGGAACTTAATAAATATAAGTAAAGAATATGAAGACCATAAAAATAATAAGACAGAAAACATACAAAGTATAGGGAGGGCATTCCAATGACTGAAATCCTGAAATTTAATCCTGTGGTTTCATTTTCTACAGCTTTTCTACACAACATAAAAGGGGGAGAAGGTAACAAAAAACTTTATTAACATGACACAAAGGATAACGAGTCTGAGACATCAAATCATTAGCATTTTATTGTCTAGGTAGCTAAGGTGCTCTAAGTAGCTGAAGACTGCCCTTCCCCAGGTGACCTCATAGTTACAATAGAAGGGGCAGAAGTATATTTGCATATTCTGACCACCTGTCAGGATGGCATTGAGCTATCTTAATTTCTTTTTTTTAAGGTTTATTTAATACGTATAGTTTTCTGCCTGCAAGTATGCCTACAGGCCAGAAGAAGGCGCCAGATCTTATTACAGATGGTTATAAGCCAGGACGTGGTTGCTGGGAATTGAATTCAGGACTTGTGGAAGAGCAGCCAGTGGTCTTAACCTCTGAGCCATCTCCCCAGCCCGAGCTATTTTAATTTCAAAGGAGCCAGGTTCCTGAGTAAGGAGGTGTAATTATGCCTGTCAGTTTTCAAACTCTCTGACTGGCAGACAAGGTGGAAATGGGGAATCAGATGCAGTGATGAAGATGGTACATTTAGAAGTGAGTCCTCAAGTGTCACTTATTATTAGCACTTTGATCAGGGAAGAGTCTGAAATAACTACTACCCACTGCAAACAAAGAACCATCTCTAACCAAACCTGTTAGGTTGGGAGCCTAGGCCCCAGCCCCTGGCATCTATCTCAGCCCCCCAGGCATGGTCTGGACTTCAAATCCCAGCAGGCCAGGTCCTGACCCCTCCCTGGGGTGGTATCAGGACCACTCCTGGGGTACTTAAGTGATCCCCCAAAAGAAGAACACGTGGTCCCTCCTTTCTTCTCCCGGGAGTCGCTTTTCTGCAGCTTCCCATTTCCCCCTCGGGGCCACCCGAGAGCGCACATCTTCCATTAAACCTGGATATTTCTTAAT